CTCTCAAGGAACATTAATGCGAGAGTCCATAACAGCCAGCTGCCCAGGAAGCCACAGTAACTCTCACATTAGAGTTAGGGCTTTCTGATCCCGATGGGCTATGTCTGCACCCTGTTCTCAGACCATTTTTCTTCCTTGTTTTCATACCAGCTGAGAAGGCCTATATTCTGACAGCAGCTTTCTGACACTGGATATCTATCTCTTGATAAATCCTTTGTGTAATTACTACCCCTTCAAATGTAATTTCCCCACAAGGCTAATGTATAATTGCTAACTAGTAAGTTCCTTGGGCTGTATTCTGATCCCCCTTCTCTTTTCTCTCTATGGTTTCTGACTCAATGACTTCAACAACTTTCACAGTTATTCCATATCTCTCCATTGTCATCTCTGTGCAGATTAGTCCCAGGTCTATAGTCAGCATTAATCTTTTTCTTGAGCTCCAGGCCTGTATTACCAACTGCCTCTTAGATGTTTCAAACTGGAGTCCAACATTCTTCTTCAAACCCAATATGTACAAAACAGAACTCATTGTGTTTTCTATATGAATATGTGTCTGTCTGTCTGTCTCTCTCTCTCTCTCTCTGTCTGTCTGTCACTGTCTCTCTGTCTCTCTCTAACTCTCTCTCTTGCTCTCTGTCTCTCTCCTCAGTGACTGAATCTTGTTGTTTCTGTCTCTACAACAGCTTTAGCTCAGCCCATCAACTCTCACCTGGACTATTGTAATAACATCTTTATTGGCCTCTGTGTCTCAGATCTCTGCACCTATTTCTTCTCCATTCTAACCTCTACTTGCTACCAAAGTGATTTTCTAAAATTCGGGTTTGATCATGTCACTTCCCTACTCAGTAAACTCTAGTGACTCAGTATTGTTAATGGGAAGACCCCCCTCAGCCCCAAAAAACCTGGAATGGACAGAGTCCAACAACAGATTACAAAAGCATTTATTGTCTGAGAAGAACTTGCAAGGGAGAGAAGAGCTTACAAAGGAGCAGAGAAAGAGAGAGAGAGACAGTTCTCAGCTGCTCAAAGGAGAGTGGAAAAAGGGTAAGAGATTTATGGTTTCTAGCAGCTTTCAGGCAGGGAGCAGAGGTTAAGGGGAGGAGATGTTTATAGACACAAAAAGCCAGGGAACAAGATGTTTGAAAAGTCCCTGGTCCCAACTACTGCTCAAAGTTGGTTTTGAGCCATCAAGGCTGATTCTGTGGTTTCTGGCATTCTGGCAAATTTGTCCAGAGTTTGCACACAAAGGATCATTGATATGTCAAGAAACCCTGGGTTTTAGAAGTCCTTCTGATTATCTAGTGTTGTGCTACTCCATTGTCCTGCTCCACTATGGAAAACAGAAGCTCCATGATATTCAGCAGGTTAGTATAGTCATTACAGAGTCCATGTTCATATTATCAACTCTAGAATCAAACATAAACTTCTCTGGTTGTTATTTAGACTTCTCTGGTTGTTATTTAGAACTCTTCTACCGCCACATTACTGTTCTTGCTTTCTTACACATTATTCCCCTCTGTACTCCAGCTATATTTGGCTTTCACATTGGTCCTTACACATGATACTCCATCTCCTATTTCCACCTTTAGTTTTAACTTTTCCCCATTCTTGGAATATTCTCTTCCTTCACCTTTGTCTCTTACAATCCCCAATTTCCTTTAAGGCTAAGCTCAAGTGGAGACTTCCTTCTGTAAGAGGACTTCCATTGTTTATACAGCTATTAGCACCTTCTCCTCCAAGGTTACCTTGCCTTTGTTTTATTCATATTTGTTCATGGCTACATATTTGTATCTTGTTTCCCCCATTAGAATGTAAGCTTCTTGTGATAAGAAACTATGATTTTATCTTTGTGTCCCTGTAATTTATCAAAATTCCTAACACATAGTCAGTACTTTATAAAGGCTTATTGATTGATTGTTTATATGCTCCTCCCTATACTGTATCCTGAGGTATGATGGCAATATGGTCCCATTTACTATACTGCTGAGAATAAGAGTATAATACATCTTCTGGTTATTATAATGCTTACCACCGCCATGTGAATGGACAGGCATCATTCAGCTATGATCCGCGATAACCAGAGTTGCCCCACTGGCAGACATGTCTCTAATGTGCTTGATGACAACAGCATGTTTGCATTGCTAATCTGCCTTTCTGATGATGACCAGGTGATTCAAGGTGCCATAAGAGCAAGGGAGAACCTCACAAGTTAGCTGCATTCTTGATGATATCTTTATCCAATTCATTATGATCTAGAAGAAAATAGTCTCTAGGGAAAAAAAATCTCCATCTAAAGGTACAAAATGACACTACTTTCAGGGTTCCCCAACAACCTACCTCCTCCTGAACCTGCTCTTATTCTCGTGGTGATCTCTCATTCTACAATTCTTCTCTATTCTCCCAGTCTACCACCCTTCTTCAGTCTTCATGTCATCCTTTTCTCAGTCAGCAACCTATAGTCATGTGTTTGAACCAGGCACTATTCTCCATCCCAGCCCTGAGTTCCATTGACCCTCTGCTTTTCCCACCTTTGATACTGCCTCCACCCTCTACTGAGGTGCTGAGTGTTGCTGGAGTACATCATAAAACTATGCTCACTATTTCTAATCTAAATTCATGATAGCCAAATATAACTAAGTCCTTATAACTTCGTAAAATCACAGCTTGTGGGCCAAGAGGGCGATGACTGACTTCACCTAGAAGAGAGAGTGCTCCCTGTCCTCAAATAAATGTTGATTGAAAGGATCTAATTCATAGAGGTAAGATCTTATTGCAATGAACTGCAAGGGATTATACTGGACTTTGTAACACTGTATATTGTTTTCCTAAGTAGGAAAACTGAGGCTGGAAAGTTCTTTCATGTGTAGGTTTCTATTGTAACAGAAATCCATATCTATTTATCCCTATCACACTCCTCACACAGATGTTCTTACAAACCTTTTGCCTCTCTTCTCAAAACTTAAACCAATTTCTACCCTGCTACAAATCTCAGCAAATTAACTTTCCCTTGTACTTCATTGATATTAAAACCACTGATCATTGCTTCTGTTTTCTTAGTTCCTATTCACTTCCTAACCCCTTGTCATCAACATTTCAACTCCATTACTCACCTATAACATTTCTCTCCCAGTTTGCCAATAATGTCTTAAGTACTTACTTAATCTGATTTGTTTTTCTTAGTCCCAATCCCACTTGACCTCTCTGGAGCTTTTAATGCTATTGATCATCCTCTCTTGTTAGATATTTCCCTTTTGCCTTCCAAGACACTAATTCTCATATTTGTCTAAATATTACTTCTTAATCTCCTTTGATGAATTGTCCATTTTCCAAACACTTAGTAAGTATCATTATCCTCCAGGGCACCATTCTAGATCCTTCCCTCTCTCCATGCGTTTTCTGGGTAATTATTCAGTTCCCATGGCTTGAATTATCATGACATACAAATCTATACATCGAGTTTTAATATCTCTCTTCAAACTCATTCCTGAATTACTAACTAGCAATAATATTGGATATTTCCACTTGGAGGTATGATTGACTTCCCAAATAGAACACACACTCCTTATCTCCCTTTCCTCCAACCTACCACGTCTCCAAATTATCCTATTTACTCCAATCACTCAGTTTCATCACAACCTCAAAGTCACCCTCCACTCTTCCCAATTCTTCTCCCATCATAATCTCTCAATACCAAGTCTTATCAGTTCTACAATCATATCTCTGGCGTCTATATCATATAGCATCTTCAACCACACTGTCAACAGCCTAGTTCATTACTTATTGCTACCTACAAAGACTATTGAAACAACCTAATAAGTTATTTCTCTACCTCAAAATCCCTTGAAGAGCTGCCAAAATAATCTTTATAATGAACAAATCTGACCACATCAATTCCTTACTCAAAAACTTTCATAAATTCCAATTGCCTATAGAATAAAATACTCCTCAATCAAGCTTTAAAGGAGCCTACAAAATCTGGACACAACCTACCTTTCAAGTCTTTTTCATCCTGTTCCCTTTCATGCACTGATGTACATGGTTGTTTTCATCCAATGGTACCCTGGCTTCACCTTACTCTTTCTCATCTCAGTACTCAGTTCATTCCTCATGTCTGGAAAATACTTTCTGTCCATTGCCTCTTGTTGAAAACCTTCCCTGATTTTGAGGCCCAGTTCAGGTGCCACCTCCCTCCATGAAACCTTCCCTAGCTTCAATCTAAAATAAATCTCTCCTTTATTTTTTTTTAAAGAATGCCTTGTTGTTTTCTTCCTCCCCCTTATCAAATTTTCCCTTCTATCATACTTATTTGTGTAAATGTTAACCTTCCCCACATCCCGGCACAAAATTTTTGAGGGCAGAGACTGTAATATTTTTTGTCTTTGTATCTTCAGCATCTCTCATAGGATCTCATGTAATCATGCTTAATAAATGTTTTTTCAATCTAATATAATTAAATAGACTATCAAGTGTTTGGTATAGTCAATTGGAATGGCTTCCTGTGGATTTTGTAGATTACCCAGAGCAAATGCTTAATCTCAGGTTGGATTCACTGAGACACTCAACATACTTCTTAACTGCCTCCCTATATTCTGCCATAGTTGGTGTGTGTATGCTCAGGGAATACAAACTACTTGCCTAAAAAAAACCTTAATTATGCAGGTAAATCTGGTTTTTTAATAACATGTGCATTCTAGAGTCAGGTAGAAATTTCTTTTGATTTCCCTATCCTAGTATCAAGGTGATTGTATGTAGCCTGTGTGAAAAACAATTTTTTTTCCTCACTTTGCTTTATATTTTTTCATGGGCTTTGACTGTGGTGGGGGGCGGGGAGTGGGGAATGAAGCCCATAAAAGAAATATAAATTTAGCCTAAAGCCTTGGTATTGCAGAAAAATTAGGTGTGAACATAGAGTATTTAAGAAAGAAAGTCACTATTGTGCTATTATTTTTCCAAAAATCTAGTATAAATTTGACATTCTGTCTTGGATGCCTCAGACTCACCTTTGCTCTTGTGATTGAATTATCCATAGTGTTCTCTGAACAGATGTTTTTATTTCAGTATTCTTCTCACTACATTTACCAGTTCTCTCATTCAGTTGCCATGAGTCTTTTTTTCCACAGCTTCTCTCTAAAACAAAACAAAACAAAACAAAACAAAAACTGAACCACCTTTTTTACAGCATGTAGTTAAAATGGAACTTGGAGGCTAAATGTTAAGCTCTCCATTTTCAAAATTACCTCAACATCTTCAGGCTCAGAAACACAGTGTAGAAAAAAAGCTTCAAAATGAGGATTATTTCCAAATAAAATTGTGAAACATTAATGCCAGGCCAAGTCATTTATAAAGAGATAATGTTTACTTTCTTTTCCAGGCTGTGTTCTCCAATGGTGACTTTGATTGCAGTCATATTCTGATGGAGAACTAATGAAAGATATTTTCAGCTTCAGGACAGAACTGCCCTGTTGGTGCTTGCTGTTTATAATGTTACAATCTCTGACACTTCTCAATTTGTCTCTCAGAAATATGCAGAAAAAAATAATTTGGTGAGCCCTTATCATCCATGGATTTGGATGAGCAAATGCCTCCATGTCAGAGAAATAGATGCATATATGGGAAATGTGTATGGGAAGTAGAGAACAGTAACTCTGTGGAGAGCCATTACAGCCCATCATGATGGAGAAGAATTCTCATCTTACACACACACACACACACACACACACACACACACACACACACACACACATTGAGTTACCTGAAAAGAAGATATATATTTTTACTAACATGTAAACTGTGACCTGACCAACTTTTTAAGAAATGTATGTGATTGGTTCAACCTCAAAGAAATAAATAGGCTGAGGAACTTTGAAGCCTGGAAGAGCAGAGTTAGTAACAGCGAAATGTAAAATCTCTCAGAATTTATGTGACTTTAGTTTAAATCAGCTTTTGTATATTTGTGTTAGCTTACACATTCAAAGCCTTGCTAGATTTGGAGTAAGAAGAATGGCTTTTGAGTCTGCCATTTACATGTGACCTTAAGCAAGTCACATCAGTTATTTAGGCCTCAGTTTCTTCATCTGTTTAAAAAAAAATAGACTAGAAGACCTCTTGGGGCCCTTACAGCTCTAAATCTATGAACCAAGACTAAGGACAAATCATTTAATCTCTTATAGCCTTCATTTCCTCATCTGGAAAACAGGGATATAACAACACTTTCTGTGAGAAGTATCTACCTCACAGTATTATTATGAAATTCAGAAAGTGCTTGAAGTAGAGGGCACAAAACTTGGAATCAAATTTGGTTCAAATCTTGGTCTACCATATCCTACCTTTGTGACAATCCACAAATTTCCTACCTTTGAGTAAATCCCTCAGTCTTTTTATTTTTCTTTTCTTTTCTTCTTCTGGTTTAGATGATCTCCAAAGTCCCTTCCAGGGGACTAAATCTAGGTGATTTTATATGAGGAACTAAAGTTAAAGACAAGGTAAAGTGTCAGTTTTGCCCATTGCTGACAAGTCCCTGTACCTTACTTTCCACATCTATAAAACTGAGAGGATAATACTTGCATTACCCACTTCATAGGATTGTTATGAGGAAAACACTAGAGGCAGTGGCATACCATATTAGCTCTAGAGTTAGAGAATCTAAGTGCTAATTCTGCTTCTGACATTTACTACCAGTGTGAATTTGGGCAAATTAATTCACCTTCCTGGGTTTCCTCAGATGCAAAATAAAGGGGTTAGCCAATGCTTCTGAGGTCCTTTCTAACTCTAGATCTTTATTTCTATGAAATCAGGTAAGAGAATCAAAGAAATATTTAATCATATGTTTTTATAGCTAGAGGGGACCTTTCAAGATCATAAATTTCTGCAAAAATTAAGAAAGAAAATATACTATCAAGCTCCTTTAATGAGACAAATATAGCTAACCAGGGAATAATAAAGCAGAAGAGAACTATAGATCAATATAAGTAATGAATATTGATACAAACATTTTAAATGAATGCCTGGCAAAAAAAAAAAAAGAAAACTATAGCAACAAAAAAATCACGGATATGAGTTGGCTTTATGGCAAAGATATTAGAATTATTAGGAAAATAATTAGCATAATTAGTCATATTAAAAACAAAAACACCTAAACCTCATAATTATGATGATTGATGTAGGAAAAGTATATTTATTCTAAAACTCTTCCAGAACACAGAAAAATCTATATTTTTCAATTATTAAAAAGTATATATCTAAAACTAAAAGCTAAAAATATATGTAGTGGAAAACACTAGAAAGTCTCTCAGTAATTACAAGAGTAAAATAAGGATGGCCACTCTTCCTGCAGTTATTTGGCATAGTTCTAGGAATGCTAGCAACAGCAATGCAAAGAGAAAGAAATTAAAGGCAAAGAGGTGACGAAACTATCCATATTTGCTGACAACATAATGCTTTACTTTGAAAATCCTAGAAGTCTGAGGGGGAAAAAATGAGACAATGTCTTCAGTAAAGCAGGAGGATGCAAAATAAACCCACAAAAGTAAAAAAAAAAAATTTCCATATATCAATAGAAGAACACAGGAGGAAATTCTACAAAAAATAAAGTCAGATTTAAAACAAGTTTAAAATACACAGAATCTCTGGGAGTCAATCTAACAAGGCACTCTCAAGGCTTGTGTAGCTGAATTTTTTAAAATGCTTTTTTAAAAAGTAGAGAACAACTTGAATATCTGGCAAGATGTTCAATGCTCACGGCTGGATTTCACCAATACAATATAAAAGTTGATGTTATTACTTAAATCAATGTACAAATTTAGTGTTCTATCAATCCAACTGCCAAGAGATTCCATTATAGAGTTAAATAAAATAATGACAAAATTGATCTGGAAGAACAGATTTAGAATCTTAAGTCACACTATGGGAAAAAAGTAAGACTGAACAGGGAATAGCACTTCTAAACTTCAAATTATACTATAAAACAGTAATCATCAACATTATTTAGTACTGATTAAAAACAGAAAAGTTAACTTGTGAAACAGACTTGATAAGGAAGAATCAGAAGTAATTGAATTCAGTAACCCAGTGTTCAGTAAACCACAAAATATAAACTACTTAGTAAATAATTCCCTAATTATAAGGAAAACTAGAAAATGGTTTTTGCAAATATTAGATTTAGAACAGCATCTTATATGATATGCTACAATTCAAAGGGGATGCATTATCTGATTATTAAAGTTCATATCATTTTTTAAAAAAATAGAATATAATCAGTTTAGGCATCTCAAACAGTTATCACTAAGGAAAGAATTCTTAACTAAACAAGGCATATAGGTAATATCAAAAAATAAATTAATTTAAATTACATGATTTTTTAAAACCTCAAGGAAAAAAAAAACAACTAGACTAAGAAAGAAAGTAGTTGACTGGGGAAAAAACATTGCATCAAAAATCTCTGTTAAGGATCTACATACCAGAGCTACAACAGAGAATAGTAGATAGAGAACTGACCTAGAAAACAGAAAACCCTAGGTTCAAGCCCTGCGTCTTATCTGTACTGTCTCTGTGACATAAGGCAAATCACTTAATCTCTAAATGCTCAATTCTCTAAGCTACAGACCTACCAAAGAGGAAGTTTCTCACCAGGAATACCCTAGAGCAATGAAATCACAGGTTTAATACCTATCCCTATATGAGATACATAGGGGGATATATATATATATATATATATATATATATATATATATATATATATATATATGTGTGTGTGTGTGTGTGTGTGTGTGTGTGTGCGTGTGTGTGTGTATGTGTGTGTGTGTATATATATGTGTATATATGTGTGTATATATATGTGTATATATATATATACACACATATATGACTAAAAGTCATTCCTAAATGAAAGGAAGGAAACAAAGCACTTATTTAGTGCCTACCATGTGTTAAATACAAATAGCTCTCAAAAGAATAAAAAACAATAACACAAAAGATGACTTCAAATCACTTGTAAGAGAAATGCAAATCCAAACAACTTTGGATTTTACCACACATCTAGCAAATTGACAATGATAACCAAAAAAAAAAAATAAGAATAGTCAGTGTTAGAGGGGTTTTAGAAAGACAGACATACCAATACTGTTGGTGAAACTTTAACATGGTCCAACTCCTCTGAAAAGCACTGTGGAATTATGCTAAGAAAGTGCCTAAAACATTTATAAGCTTTGACCCAGAGATCCCACCTTTGCACATAATCCCCAGAAGATCAAATATATAAAGGAGCCATGTAGAATGACAACAACAAAAATTATCAGCCCTTTTCCATGGTCACAAAGAAATGCAAACAAAACAGATACCCATCATGGAAGAACGGTTAAACAAATTGTTTTATGCAAGTATAATTGAATATTACTGTACTGTGAGAAAGGATGAATATGACGAATACAAGGAAGTGTAGGAGGATGTATAACCTAATTCAGAGTTCATTAAGCAGGGCCAGGAAAACAATATAAAGTGTTACGAGTACAATGCAAATAAAACAACAAAAAACAGAAGCTGAACAGCGTGTAATTATAATAACCAAGCACAGCCATGAAAAAATAAAGTACGCCAATACATATTCCATTCTTGGAGAAATATGGGTATTAAACCCTGCATATATTGTCAGACTTAGATTATGCTTTTGGTTAGTTTTGCTGAACTATTTTATTGATATCTATATTTTCTTCTTTGTTTTAAGAGATGACTCATCTTCTTAAAAATGTATTTGGTTCTAAAACATAAAAATCAACAAAATATTAAAAAGAAAAGAAAAAATATTTTAATATATTTGTTAAGTGTTGATGACACGCAAAGCATTGTGCTTTATAAACAAAAAAACTATATATATACACATATATACATATATGTGTGTGTGTATATATATGTGTGTGTGTGTGTGTGTGTGTGTGTATATATATATATATACACACACACACACATACAGATGAAGAGGCGTAGAGAGCTTTATCTAGCTAGTTAGTGGTGACAGTAGAACTTAGGTCCCAAGATTTCTGATTCATAAGCAAGTGTGTTTTCCACTATAACACACTGAATCTTTGTCTTTCTATGTTACTTTGTTTGGCTTTCCTGAGAACTTGCATTTGTAA